TTGTAGTGCATCTTTTTACCACTAAGCATAGTAGAGTTCCTCCAGCAATCGGGTGATGAGACTATCCACGTTCACCTCCCCGTCCGCCATCTTGTCGGCACTCCCGTCCTGCCTTCCCTCCGCAGTGGAGCAAAAGCAAAAAGTGAAACTAAGGCCGGGGCTTGGGGTTCCCGTGGCGCCAGGCGCCGGGGTGTCCACGGCGGCGCGCTCCCGGCCAAGCCTCCCGCAGCCCTGGGCCGGTCGGGGCCCAGGCCAGAGGCCCCGGAGCCGGGAGCGGGCCGGGCCAGGGAACCACTCCAGATAGCTTTCTTTTAAACTTCCTGGCATACACCTGGTTATCACAACCATGGCTGCATCTGTTAGTTGATAAATGCCAATTGGTGTCCCATCAATTCCTGAGGCCTTATTTTTGGCCAGTTGCTTTAATCCAGCCTGGACCTTTCCCCTCATCGCTATTGGCTCTTTATAAAATGTTTCTTCTTGAAATTTCTATGTCATTTAATTATTTTTTGGTTCAGTAACTGTGTATCCCCTCCATATTTTTTATGCTTCCTGGATCATTCAAGACTATTCCAATAACATCTTTCAGTATTGTAACTTGAGGCTCGAATTTGTTTTACAGTTCTTTCAATTTTACAAATGTTGAGCAAATTCTGCCCTTTTTATTCACCAATTCTGTCTCTTTGCATATTCCATTATAATACTTTGCTTTGTCTTCTGAAGTTACTCTTAACTCGTACATCTTTTCTAATTTGGTATCTCTTCCTTAATATTATTTTTTTTTTAATTTTGGCTTCTCAACAATCTAGTAAATTTCTAAGTCTCTTCTGCTATACATTTTGGTCTTGGCTTCCTCTTCTTTCTTTGTAATAATATTTTGTTCCCTTTGTGAATGATATCTTTGATGTTATTCCACAACTTATCTAGTCTTTGATCATTAGATTTTAACGCCTTGAACCATTCTGGAGATTATTTTTAAATTCAAATGGGATAAACTCAAGGTTGAATTTTGGCTTTAGAGGACTTATTTTTCTTTTCTTCAGCATCAATTTGGTCTTGCACATGAGTAATTGATGGTCTGTTCCACAATCGAGAGTCTGTTCTACAATCAACACTTGACTGCTGATGGGCTTTCTAAAATCCAATAAACAATAGGGGAATATGGATAGCTATAGCATTAAAGGTATAGCCCTACTCAATAATTAGGAGAAACAACTGTTAACATCCACTTAAAAATGGAACACGGAACACATGAAGTACGAGTATGCAAAAATTAGAAATTTTTAAAAATAAATGGGACAAATAAAGATACATTCTTGGTATTAGACAGCTGAGATGGACTGGAATTGGCCACTTTGAATCAGGCAATCATATGATTTATTATACCAGAAGTGAAATGTTGAAGAAGAATTGTGTTGCATTCACAGTTAAATAGATCATTGCAAGATTTGTCATAAAGTATGATGCTGTGAGTGGTGGGGTACCATCCATGTGCATACAAGGAAGATGTGTTACAACAGTTATTCAAATATACACATCAACAACTAAAGCCAAAGAGCAGAAAATTGAGGAATTCTAACAACTTTTGCAATCTGAAAGTGACCAAACATGCAATCAAGGTACATTAGTGATAATTGGTGAGTGGAATGCAAAAGCTAAAAACAAAGTAGAAAGGATAGTAGTTGGAAATTATGGATAGAATTTAGGCTGGAAACGGAATGATTAAATTTTGTTCATTCAATGATGTTTATAATTTATCTTTGAAACACTGAGAAACCATTAACTGCAAATGGTATTTATAAGATCTGGCATATTAGAGATAAGGATATAAGTAGTTAGGGTATGTTTCAGAATTATGACACCTCTTATGAAACAAAATTAGAAATTATTTTAAATTAAAATTTTTATAATTTATTTTTAGGTATAATTAGATATATTGCATTATTCCCATTGTTTGGGAAATGGTGAGCTCATGTTAAACCTTCTGATAGACTATTAATTGGTTTGAGTTTTAAATTTCTATTTCATGTGTCCTAGGAGCAACACCTTTCAGTAGGAATATGTGAATAAGACAAATTTTTATAAAAGATCAAGATTAAATTTGAATATCAGAATGAGCGATATTATTTAAGTATGGTACCTTTCACAATGACCATATTGATTTCTCATTAGGAGTTTGAATCAGATGATTTTATGATTTACTATGCTGGGGATGAAAAGGTGAGAAAAAATGGGGGTTGGTTTCATAATTAAAAATATCATTTCTAGATCTATACAGAAATACAATGTGGTGAGCAACATGATAATATCCAGACGCATACAAGGAAGTCCAGTGAATACCACTATCATTCAAATAAGAGGAAATAGAAGATTTTTACCAACTTGTGCAGTCAGAAATTGATCAAAGATGCAAACAAGATGGTGACTGGAATGCAAAAGTTGGGAACAGGGAAGAAGGATCAGAAGCTGTAAAACATGGGCTCAGTGAGAGAAATGAGGCTGGAGCTAGAATGATAGAGTTCTGCACATTCAATGATTTATTTATTGCAAATACCTTT